AAAAATAAGAATGTTTGCCTTTTTAAAAACTAAATTGTTTTTGATTGTTTGGTATATAGGCAATTTCAACACTCACTTTTTTTTTTTTAAAACACCTGAACTGACTGTGCTCATTCGTGGGCCTGGATTGATATTTACAGGTGCTGGTCATAAAATTAGAATATCATGAAAAAGTAGATTGATTTCAGTAATTCCATTTAAAAAGTGAAACTTGTATATTATATTCATACATTACATACAAACTCATATATTTCAGATGTTTATTTTGTTTAATTTTGATGATTACAAATGACAACAAATGAAAATCTCAAATTCATCATATCAGAAAATTAGAATATTGTGAAAAGGTTCAAAATTGATGGCCCCTGGTGCCACACTCTAATCAGCTAATTAACTCAAACCACCTGCAAAAGCCTTTAAATGGTCTTTCAGTCTAGTTCTATAGGCTACACAATCATGGGGAAGACTGCTGACTTGACAGTTGTCCAAAAGACGACCATCGACACCTTGCACAAGGAGGGCAAGACACAAAAGGTCATCGCTAAAGAGGCTGGCTGTTCACAGAGCTCAGTGTCCAAGCACATTAATAGAGAGGCGAAGGGAAGGAAAAGATGTGGTCGAAAAAAGTGTACAAGCAAGAGAGATAACCGCACCCTGGAGAGGATTGTGAAACAAAACCCCTTCAAAAATGTGGGGGAGATTCACAAAGAGTGGACTGCAGCTGGAGTGAGTGCTTCAAGAACCACCACACACAGACGTATGAAAGACATGGGTTTCTGCTGTCGCATTCCTTGTGTCAAGCCCCTCTTGAACCACAGACAGCGTCAGAAGCGTCTAAAGAGAAACAGGACTGGACTGCTGGTGAGTGGTCCAAAGTCATGTTCTCTGATGAAAGTAAATTTTGCATTTCCTTTGGAAATCAAGGTCCCAGAGTCTGGAGGAAAAGAAGAGAGGCACTTCATCCACGTTGCTTGAAGTCCAGTGTAAAGTTTCCACAGTCAGTGATGGTTTGGGGTGCCATGTCATCTGCTGGTGTTGGTCCATTGTGTTTTCTGAGGTCCAGGGTCAACGCAGCCACATACCAGGAAGTTTTAGAGCACTTCATGCTTCCTGCAGCTGACCAACTTTTTGGAGATGCAGATTTCATTTTCCAACAGCACTTGGCACCTGCACACAGTGCCAAAGCTACCAGTACCTGGTTGAAGGACCATGGTATCCCTGTTCTTAATTGGCCAGCAAACTCTCCTGACCTTAACCCCATAGAAAATCTATGGGGTATTGTGAAGAAGAAGATGCAATACACCAGACCCAACAATTCAGAAGAGCTAAAAGCCACTATTAGAGCAACCTGGGCTATCATAACACCTGAGCAGTGCCACAGACTGATCGACTCCATGCCACGCCGCATTGCTGCAGTAATACAGGCCAAAGGAGGCCCAACTAAATACTGAGTGCTGTACATGCTCATACTTTTCATGTTCATACTTTTCAGTTGGCCAACATTTCTATAAATCCTTTGTTTTTATTGGTCTTCAGTAATATTCTAATTTTCTGATATGATGAATTTGAGATTTTCATTTGTTGTCATTTGTAATCATCAAAATTAAACAAAATAAACATCTGAAATATATGAGTTTGTATGTAATGTATGAATATAATATACAAGTTTCACTTTTTAAATGGAATTACTGAAATCAATCTACTTTTTTATGATATTCTAATTTTATGACCAGCACCTGTATTGTTGATTATGAATCCTGCTCACAGCAGCAAGTTGAGCCAAACGTACTCAAAAACTCAGCTCATTGGCTAATTTGTATCACGTGTAGCCTGGTCCTGGGAGCTCCGGATGGCGTTACCATATTAACAGGAGAAGCGATACAAGTGACAGTCCATTAATCGTGACCACTGATCTATACCTTTTAGATTATGAATACTTTTAGTATATGCTGTCAAATCTTAAAATTAGCCCAATTATATTTGCAAAGTAGCCCAGGCTTAATCAATCCATTTGGATGAGGATCATCTGTCAAAATTTTTTTATTTTTTTATTTATTCTTTAAATTTATTTTAATTTTTTTGCAGTTTTGCCCTGTATTCAGCTTAATCTATTCTCCCATCAAAACTCACCGGCTCCCTCTCCCTGCTGGCAACAAAACAATCTCCACAGAGTGATGATTCCAACATCATCTGGCTTGGTGCAGATGTTGAGGTCAGGATGATGAGCTGTGATAGTTTTCTGCATGTCTTTAACATACCAATGGTTAGTTGTTTTGGTAGAATTTTTTTTTATACTCATGAGTTATTCCAGTGTTATTTTGTGGATCAGAAACCAGAAAGTTTTGAAACCTCTGATCTTGCAGATAGAGAGCAATACGAATGAACCTAAGTGGTAATTAGGCGACGCTGCTATAAACTACTTAATTACTTCATCTCTGAACTGTCTGCTGTGTTTTCATTGGGCTGTTTGTCCTCTAATGCTTTGTTTTTAAACCTGCTACTCAATGCTCTGCAAGTTTTAGATGTTTCTCTGCAATACCACACCTGATTCCGATGAATGCAGATCAGCAAAACCTGTTAATGACCAATGAGTAAAAGCAGGCAAACATCCTGACCAGCATTGTATGCCTTGAGGACAGGGCTGGAAAAATATTCCTCTAATGTTCATAACATGCCATGAGGCAATCAGAGGGGGACTGTATTTACACTGGATATAAATTATGCAGACTGGTATTAATGAGTAGTTTCTGAAATCAACGGTTTTTGCATGAAGTTCTTTCTTAATTATTATTTCTTCTTTTTTCGAACTAATCCTTGAAGACGGAGGCACTCTACTTCTATACCATAACACCCTAATTAATTAAATTTTTGAGAAAATGGAAAAGCATTTCTGCAAATCATGACAACAGCCATTGTCTCGCTGTGGTGTAACAGAAACCACTATATTCATCACTCAAAAAGTAGTTTTAAAACAGAACAGCATAAATGGCTTAAGGAGAAGAAGAAGAGTCAGCATGATGATTGTTGGGCTGGCAACGCAGACGCTGTGTCTGCATTGTGATCCCACTTCACAAGACAGCGAGACCTGCAGCCGAAGTTCAGACCAGTTCTGTATAGGGGCCAGGAAAGCTGAGGTGTAAACAGGAACAAGAGCTGGGACACGCCCAAACCTCAGTGGTATGGCCCGGGCCGCATCATTAGTACTGACGTTAAGCTAAAACATTGAGCCTTTTCTCCCCGCTGCCATGACTCATACTCAAGTGAATTGATGCCCAATGGTCATCCAAGTTAGGCTGACCATGCATCATCCATTCGACTGGACCAGTGTTCTATTTTAACTGATCGTAAAATATATACAGTATATGTTAATCTTAACGCTAATTCCTCCCTGTTCTTTTACCTCCTGTTGCTGATTTATCTCAACTCATCTCAATTGTAGTTTTGGTGTTTAAATATTACATCTCGCTGGAGTCTCATCTTTTTAGATAGAAACTGGTTTCCATCCCTCTGTTCACGTTTAGAATAACAGCTCCATGCCAAATCCAAATATATCCGTCTCAGCTTAGCTGCAAAGGTTTGAGCTCCTAGTGTCAGTCATGCTCCAAAACAGTCCTTCCTCACCAGCAGATGTCTGTCGCCATAGCTGCTCAGGAATCACTGCCAGGCTTTAATGTGGATTTTAAGTGTCAGGTTTAATTTGCAAAGACTCTTAGTGGCTTTGGGTAGTTCCAGAAATTAGAATGGAGATGTCATACTGGGACTATGTTGCTAGGGAGCAAAAATGTGTGGACAGAAATGGGGAATGCTATGGCTGTTGAGGCCAGATGAAGGAAGTCTGCCTACTTTTTGGATCTTACCATTTTAACCTTGTAATTAGAGAGTTTTTAACTTTCAGTGAATAGTCTTTTTTCCTGTATTAGATGAATCAAACACAGCTTGTTGTGTACCTTTGTACCTGTATCAAATGATTTAGTGATCCATAAAACTTCAGAATGAAGACGTACTTAATCACAGCTTGTATTTGAGAAAGAAGTTCTCCATTAATTAAATTTGCAAATGCTCAAACTGCACTGCAACAAATCTAGATATAAGTAAAAATGTCTTAATTTACCAGTAAGTTTATTTAGCCTTAAGTTGAGCAGGTAAATAAGATTATTTGTCAATGGAATTAGTGGTTTTACTCTCTTATTTAGACAAAATGCACTTGGAATAAGACACTGCAATTGTTTTTTCTTATGGTAAATGTAAATTGTCTTGTTCCATTGGCAAAGTGTCTCACCTCCTCAATTCAAGAAAAAATGCACTTATTTTAAAGCTACAGTGTGTAATTTTCAGCGACATCTAGCGGTCAGACTGCAGACCGCAGCAACATGAACATCTCCCCCCCCCCACCGCTTCTCCCCCCCAACAGTACGGCGAGCGTTACGGGACAAAATGTCTTCCACGACGTCCGCATCACCTACCTTCGCAAGTGATGAGGTTTGTTTAAATAGATAATTTTACAGATAGTATTTCATTAGTCTGTGTGTTCAGTCTCAGTTCATCTCTCTCAACTTGCCGTAGTTACTTTCGAGCGTAATGGGCAATCTCGCAATCGCTAGTTTGTTGGCTCTGCGCTGCCGTAGCGCAAAGATGTCTGCCTCCATGGCTGCGAGACCCGCTCCTATGTAATTATAAATAACGAATTCTAAGGCAACGCAAATATTAAGGTTAAGAGGCTGAGCTCGTAGATGATGATAAGTAACATAGTTATGTATAATATATTACATTTCTGATTGTATATCCCTGTAATTATTACACACTGTAGCTTTAAGAAAGAAATTACTTATTGAGATAAAAAAAAAATTTTGCAGTGTGTAAATGTAACAATTCTTTGAAATGTGTTTTTATGCATGAAGATGAAATTTCTCACAGGTAAAAGATCGTACATCTATGTGGTTAAATCAATTCAGGCAATCTGTTCTTCAGAAAATTCTTCTTCTTTTTATTGTTCTGTGCAGTGCGCTGGCCGGTTATAATGGAACCATATTCGCTTATGGACAGACGGGAAGTGGGAAGACGTTCACTATCACTGGAGGAGCTGAGCTTTACAGCGATCGAGGTATCATACCGCGTACCCTGTCCTACCTGTACGAACGCTTCCGCCAGGTCAGAGCAGCCTCCTCTGCGTTTACAAATCTGCAAAAAGAAAAGCTGCAAATCTTCCACAGCATCTGCCAAATGTGACAAAAAACTATCATTTCAGATTGTATAACTTTTCTTCACAGGAAAGCAGCATGATATTCTCCACACACATCTCTTACCTGGAGATTTACAACGAGGTGGGATACGACCTTTTGGATCCCAGATATGAGGCCTCGCGCCTGGAAGACCTACCGTCAGTCATTTTCTCAAACCTTTTTTATGGCCTTTCTTTAAATTGTGAAAATATTCGCTGTGTCAGATAGATTTCACATGAGTCAGACTTAAAGCCACTCCTTGTTGAAATATGAAGACAGTGAGACTGTCCCCCTCTTCATACGGCTGAGTAAAATCCAGCCTGGGGGTAGACTGCGTGAATTGGGGTCAGTGATTAGAACTTTAATCCTCCCCATTTCCCTCTCTCTGTAATTCTATTATTTATTCCTGCTGCCTCTATCTAAAAAAAACGTATAATTACAAACTCCACCTGTTGCCTTTGATTATTTTTCCTTTTTCTCACACATTAGTGAGACAGTAAGTATTATCAAGGCAAGACTTGTAGACATGGCACTAACTGATACATCAGTTTGAAAGAAGTAGTACATGGTTTTCATGTACCACTTCATTTTAAGTCACATCTGAACTAGAACTCAAGGTTTTAGATACCCACAAATCACAGTCCTCTGGAAATAGCCAGGCCCATTGTGAACCATGCTGTGGCCATACTTGCTGAATCATGAAGAGGTTGTGGCAGTGACAAATTTCCCCCCTTTTTTCATCCTTCTCCATCTTTCCTTCATTTCCAACATAGCCCGCCCTCCCTTCTTTCTGACATTCCTGCACCATTTGATCTAGCTTTACATTTCTCTCTCCATCTGTTTTCATCACGCACTCATCTTTCCATCCTCTGGATTCCTAAAAATCTGCAAATTACCCTCATTCACTCCAATGTTTATATCATTTTTATTTTTTTATTTTGCAACAATCTAACTATACGTAGGTTTGGCTCGGCTGTTGAGCAAAATTACTCTGCCAGGATGCAGCTCTGAATGACAATAAGATTAATACTGTTTTATCAGAGCACTCCAATTACCTGCACATGTTAACATAATTATCCGCACGTGTTCTCCAATTATTCCTCCCTGTTTGACGCGTCAGTCAAGTAGCTGTACTCTCACTTTACTGGTGGCTGGATGGAAATGATGTGGTAGGGTTTCAGGAGTAATTTAGACCCATCTGTGTTTCAAATCGCCTGATGTGGGTGAGTAACAATCACCAGTTTGTTTCTAAGATCTTGCCTTGTCTGTTATCAACTTATGAACACCCAGATAGATAAATCCCATGCAAGACTAGGCTGCAGCTCAGACTGTTTGGATTAAGTGCTGAGTGACGCCAAGACCAAGGGAGGTAAATAGATGACATAACTGATTGTTATGCCATGATTTGACAATTAGCTTGTGGATTGGTGTTAAATTATGCAGTCTGTTATAAAGGTGTGTTGCTGTGACGTTTTTTTTCCTCAAGCAAAGTCTTATAGAATAAGCTAACTGGTTTTATATATATCTCCAAAAAAGTAAGAATTTCTTTTTTTTTTTTTTTTGGTCATATACAGTGCCTTACAAAAGAATTATAACCTCTTCAACTATTGCCACATTACAGCTCCTCTTCCTTCTTTACTTCTGTCGGAATATTACTGTACCCCTCACTGGTGCGACAGGAAGTGGATTATTACAGCATATATTAGGGGACATAATGCATAGTGGGCATTATAAGGCATATTAGGGCACACCCACAATGTGTGGAAAATATCAAACACCAGTTTATAGTGTAAACGTTTGACACTATACACTAGATTTAGATCTAGATTTAGAGTATTGCTCCAACTCCATCTGTTAACTGTTAAATACTTTTAAAAATGTTATTTAAACTTGATTTAGTTTGGACCGAAACATATACTTTAAATTTCTTTAATTAAAATGAGGAATTTACTGTGCTGTGTTTGTAATGTGTATACAGGTTTAAACAATTCAACCACATTGCTATGTTTCAACCCACAGAGAGGAACACTAAGATGGTTAAATATAGCAAAAATGAACACGGAAATGTTCAAAACTGCACAGTAACATAAGGAAACTCTTAAGGTCCGATATTTAAAGTTGTTTCATATCAAGTGGATTTGGGATTTAGATGTAAAAAAAAAAAAAAAAATAGCTGGGTTCAAAACTTTTTCTAAATTAAAGATCTAATTCATGACTTCATTTTTTATTATTCCATGGATGTAATTATGATCTAAATGTTGTTAAAGATGATGATTTTGCTTTTGTCAGGAAAGTGATGATTATGGAGGATCCAGAGCAGAACATCCACCTGAAGAATTTATCTATGCAGCAGTCTACTAATGAGGAAGAGGCTCTGAATCTGCTCTTCCTTGGGGACACTAACCGTATGATTGCAGAAGTAAGAAAATCTTAACAAATATAAGTCAGGACTCTAAACCTATAGGCTAAAATACCACTGACCACTTCCAGGAAAAGTGCCATTAAAAGTTATGTGTTTTTTTCTTTTTCTAAATGCAATATTCATTCTAAAAACTACCTTAGTACCCTGCTAAAACATTATTTTAGTTCCCAGCGGGCCCTTTTATCAGCTCCTTTTCCCTGTTAAACTACTTTCTCTCTGTAATTTATGTTTATATTGTGGTGTGCTTTTTTTATTTTCATCACCCGCTCAGGCTTCTTGCACTGATCATGAGATATGAGGTGACTCTGCTTTTGCTTTTCAAAGTGAGGTTTTGAAGGAAGAAAGCTGATCTCACCTAATCTACTCTAGTTGCGGTCTTGCTTGTAAATACATGACAGTAAAAGGGACCCAGATTTTGATCAACGATTTACTTTTCTTTACTTTGACGTCAATTGTTGTTGTGGTTGGGATTCTCCCATGTTAACTGTTTTTTATTGGTAGAACTGTATTAAAAGTATTTTATAATTATATGCAATACAGCTCCTTGGTGTAAACTAGAAAGGGCATTTTATTGAAAACATCTTCATATAAGGAAAAGAGCCATACTTCGGAGAGACCCCACAATCATCCACCCACATAGCGACATTTGTTTTGCCTTGTGTTTGACCGCATCCTTAAAAGCCCCCCTGAGCCTCAAACAAACAAAGAACCACTAATATTGTTCATTTATCTTTGTAAGAATCATCCAAGAAGTTTGTTTCGATAAGGCTAACAGCAATGCTTTCTTTCTTCTCATGATCCCATCCCTGTAGATAAAAGATGACACATCCATTCAGGCAAAGCTCAAAAGACCATGAGCTCACTCGCTTTGAGAGGTTTATTGGACTCGAAATAAAATGCTCCCCCATCATCAACGTTTGGGGAATATTTTCTCCCATCTGGTGTTTTCTGAGTCTCTTTGTTGTTTAAACGGATGCAAAACTTGAAGTCCTCTTCCTGCAGTGAGCTCTATAACATTTAAGAATCAATGCTTTTTAGGTTTTCAAAATCGGTATGAAACATTTGTGTAATGTCATAAAGGTTTGCACTTTTTGTCAGCAGAAGGCTCCTTTCTGATGTGACATTGCAGCAAAGTGTGAGGTCAGAACACTATGTGGTTCAGACATGTGGTTTACACAGCCTGCAATGAGGGGTGCTTTCATGCCCTTCCTCTGTAGCTTGTATAAATTTATATTACGTGACACGTTTATCTTAATCTGAGGTTCTAACCAGTAAACCTTTGTTCTTTGATAGAACCCTCTCACCTCTGTAATATGGAACAGAGAGTATTATGATGAATATCCTGGATAATGCCCTTCCGACCATTGTGCGTTGAAGAAGGACGAAACAAATATAAGAACAAACAAAAAAATCTTACCTGTAAGAGAAAAGTAGCAGCTCTTCGTCAGAAATGTGTAGCAGCAGGTGAAGGAGCGGTAATGCTCTACATCTCGTTTAACAAGAGGATACCTCATTCATATGGAACACTTCCTGATATTTCAAAGACTTAAAACCAGGGAGATCGGCCATTTCAGAAGCTTTGATACCTTTTATATAACGTGATACCCACTGATTTTCATAAGGGGTAACTGGCTAATAGGGGGGCATACCTGTAACTATGAGTTTTAGGTTTTTGAAAGTTACAAAAGAATTTTGCGCATTTAATGTGTTTAAAGGCTGACACAGAGTCCAATTCAATTCATTTTATTTATATAGCGCCAATTCATAACACATGTCATCTCAAGGCACTTTACTGAGACAATTCAACCAAATCATATTCAGATTGGCTCAAAGTTTTCTATCGAAAGAAAACCAGTTGACTGCGTCGACTCATTGACTCCAAGGCAATCCCTCACACCAAGCATGCTTGTAGCAACAGTGGAGAGGAAAAACTCCCTTTTAACAGGAATAATTCTCCAGCAGATCCAGGCTCAGTGTGAGCGGCCATCTGCTGAGGCTGACTGGGGTTCAAAAAGACAAAAGCAGATATAGAAAAAGAAGGCGAGATACAAAAGGCAACTGTAAACCAGCTCCACAGGTGACCCCGTCCAGGAAACACAGCCAGGCAGGCAAGCTCAGAGCCAGCTCCCATGTCAGAGGATGAAGAGAGCACATCCAGCTAGTCACAGTCAGAGAAACAGGACTACACTGGGAAAACAGGCTAAGCTCCAACATCTATAAACAAAGGTGTCGATGGCAGCTGGTATTTCTCTCCAGGATGGTGTCACAGCCAAACAGGAACAGACCGATTGAACTTACAAATTCTGCAGAGTGGGAGAATAGAGATAGAATGATGAAATGGGGGTCCCTATGTCCTCCAGCAGTCTAAGCCTATAGCGGCATAACTATAGAGGTAGCTCAGTCCTACTTTGTCACCTAAATTCCTGCCTGCTGACACAATAAAAAATATTGTGTTATTGTTACTTTTATTACTTAGCTCTTTATTGAAATAAATAAGAGAGATGTGTTTGATCAAAATATTAGTGCAGATATTGTTTAAAATGAACCCTTAAAGGAAGGTAATAGATTGAGATATTCACAAAAGCAACAGTATTACCTTTTAGCTGCTAAGAACGACATGTTTATATCACTACACCTTTAAAGGCGGAGAAATTATGATCTAATGTTAACTTGGCCTACATTTACTTAGATAATAGTTTATACGCTTCTTATCTGGTCTATTTATAAAATTTTATAAAAGATAAGATTTTCTCATCTGGTCTATTTATAAAATTCTATAAAAGATAAGATTACATTTAATAGTGATAAGGATGCCTTTAAAATTGAGTTAATATTTAAATGCTAATTACCAACATACCTGCTTCTTATGGCTGACCAGACCTTGTCTTTAGGCACAAAAAGCATTAAAAACTTTTTTTTTAACCAAATAATTCCCTTGTATATTCATCCAAAACAAAAGGTTTGGAGTCAGCCTTCATTTAATAACAATCTTTATAACAAGCTTTAATAATCTTTCAGTTTAAGACGACAATTTCAGGTTGTTTTTAGACAGAGGGCAACTATGACTCTTATTGTTTTTAATGATCGGTAATCCAAAGAGTTGGCTTTCATTTTAGTGCTTAACTAAACTGAAATTCTTCCCTTTGCATGTGCCTGTGTGCTTGACCTTTGACCCATTTCTTTTAACTAAAGAAATATAGAAAGCGATCCTTTTCTTATATCTAAGAGCTGTCTGGGATTTCTCTAAAAGATATTCCATGGACATGTGTAGAGTGATGGGAATTCAGTTTGAGGAAAGGGAAGACAGCTGCAGGTTAAGATTGTGAAATGTCTGTCATGACCTACCAAGACCCTAACAAGCAGGTGTTGACACATTTTGCCAACTAGACGTCAGCCTTAGGGAACCTTTCTTTGTGTTTGGTTTTAAATGACCTGAGCTGTCATGTTTAAATTTATGTTGTCAAGCAAAGAAAGAAAAGGTTCTCCAAGGTCACTTATAATCAGAAAAGGGGAAACAATAACATTAATTGCATTGCATGTGCTATTCCATGCACTAATGTGCTTCTATACTATTTTTAAGTTAAACCTTCTAAGTTTATCAAATGGTACATAAATAGAAAAGAAGCTCAAATTCAAGGCATAAAGATTTCCTCTGTGAACAACGGTCTCTACAATGACCAACCCTCTGGGTAAGGATGCTTTTGTGTAGAAACTGAGTCTACTCTGTTTCTGTGTCTTTCATATAGATTAGAATACTTTATATTGTAGTATACAGGGGAGTTTTTGGAAAGCAGTATTTCTGTGTGTACTTTTCTTTGGTTTAGATGGCTGATGAGGAGATGGCTAAGAGGAGCAGAAAACAGTGTTTATTTTCTGACGGAGCTGTCTTGTTTCTGTATTCCTCAGACCCCCATGAACCAGGCCTCTACTCGTTCGCACTGTGTTTTCACCATACATCTCTGCAGGCGTGAACCGGGCTCAGCCACTTTGCGGCGATCCAAACTCCACCTTGTGGACCTAGCTGGATCAGACCGAGTAAGCAAGACAGGCTTGGAAGGGCAGCTGCTCACCGAGGCCAAGTACATCAACCTGTCACTGCATTACCTGGAGCAGGTATACACATAGTTTATAGGTATACACATATTTATGCAATGTTTTATCCTTTTTTGTTAACCACTTTTTTCATGATTTTGGAAATATTTTTCTTGCATTGGTAAAGGAAATAAAGAGTTTTTTTGCAGAGTAAATATTGGATTATAAATGTCAAATTGTCTTTTAGTTCTTTACATTAGATAGACATCTGGTAACTGTCTGATAGCACCTTTGATGCCATCAGTATTCCCTATGGTGGCTCTTTTCAGAAATCAAATCCTAAATACACCATTAATGCTCCTTATTTTAACCCATTAAGTCTTAAGGGCTGGTTATACTCCCCCAGCAGTGTGTCGCAGTGAGCTTGTCGCAAGTATGACGCAGACATTTTTGATTTATGCTCAATATGGAACCATGGTCTGCGGTATGTTGGTCCACGCCACAACGCAAGAGGGACAATCACAAACTAGCTGTGGGTCTAGATACGGCTGAGGCGGTGAGGAAGAGAGGGCAAGTTTTTCTGACACCGGAGGGACATGAGGGGCAAAAAGAGCGGGAATCCAGATGCAAAAAGGGTCCCAGCGTTCTCACGCACCTCACTCTTCTAGCTGGTCCATCTTCACGAGCCGTTTCTCCACAATGGCGGTCATAGGAACAAAACAAGTCGGTAAGGTACCAAACAGGAAAAAACGCATAGTGTAGAGCGGATGTAGATTTGACCAATCAGAGGCCTCCTGTCTGCGACGGGACGTCCCTGCGTTCACTGCGATACCTACACAGACGATCTAGTTTCGAAGTATAAATCCACCTTTAGACTTAGACAACTTTAATTGTCATTTTGTATACACAGGGTTTATACAAAACAAAATGTTGTTTTGTACACATAAAATAATATTGCAACCACTTTTGGCATATACACTATATTGCCAAAAGTATTTGCTCACCTGCCTTGACTCACATATGAGCTTAAGTGACATCCCGTTCCTAATCCATAGGGTTCAATATGACGTCGGTCCACCCTTTGCAGCTAGAACAGCTTCAACTCTTCTGGGAAGGCTGTCCACAAGGTTTAGGAGTGTGTTTATGGGAATTTTTGACCATTCTTCCAGAAGCGCATTTGTGAGGTCGCACACTGATGTTGGACGAGAAGGCCTGGCTCTCAGTCTCCGCTCTAATTCATCCCAAAGGTGTTCTATCGGGTTGAGGTCAGGACTCTGTGCAGGCCAGTCAAGTTCATCCACACCAGACTCTGTCATCCATGTCTTTATGGACCTTGCTTTGTGCACTGGTGCACAGTCATGTTGGAAGAGGAAGGGGCCAGCTCCAAACTGTTCCCACAAAGTTGGGAGCATGGAATTGTCCAAAATGTCTTGGTATGCTGAAGCATTCAGAGTTCCTTTCACTGGAACTAAGGGGCCAAGCCCAGCTCCTGAAAAACAACCCCACACCATAATCCCCCCTCCACCAAACTTTACACTTGGCACAATGCAGTCAGACAAGTACCGTTCTCCTGGCAACCGCCAAACCCAGACCCGTCCATCAGATTGCCAGATGGAGAAGCGCGATTCGTCACTCCAGAGAACGCGTCTCCACTGCTCTAGAGTCCAGTGGCGGCGTGCTTTACACCACCGCATCCGACGCTTTGCATTGCACTTGGTGATGTATGGCTTGGATGCAGCTGCTCGACCATGGAAACCCATTCCATGAAGCTCTCTGCGCACTGTTCTTGAGCTAATCTGAAGGCCACATGAAGTTTGGAGGTCTGTAGTGATTGACTCTGCAGAAAGTTGGCGACCTCTTCGCACTATGCGCGTCAGCATCCGCTGACCCCGCTCCGTCAGTTTACGTGGCCTACCACTTCGTGGCTGAGTTGCTGTCGTTCCCAAACACTTCCATTTTCTTATAATACAGCTGACAGTTGACTGTGGAATATTTAGGAGCGAGGAAATTTCACGACTGGATTTGTTGCACAGGTGGCATCCTATCACAGTTCCACGCTGGAATTCACTGAGCTCCTGAGAGCGACCCATTCTTTCACAAATGTTTGTAAAAACAGTCTGCATGCCTAGGTGCTTGAATTTATACACCTGTGGCCATGGAAGTGATTGGAACACCTGATTCCAATAATTTGGATGGGTGAGCAAATACTTTTGGCAATATAGTGTATGTACTACCCTGCTATCATAAAACAATAGTGGTAAAGTAACTAAATATGATTAAGAAAATGCCAAAAACGGTTGCATTACTTTTTCAATGTACAGCTTTTCATGACATTTCCATTTCTTAATGTGGAATGTCAAAGGAATATGTTGCTCTCTGAGGTTATGTATTAGATGCATTTAGAGATGTTACATAACTGCAAAACATAAAATTCATGTTTTCTGCAATTATTTTAAAAGCACTGTAAAATGTCTACTTGCTAATTGTAAACATTTGTTTTCTGTGTCCTATACAACTATTCTGTGGCTTCTTTCCTCAGGTGATTATAGCATTATCAGAGAAGAATCGCTCCCACATTCCATACAGGAACTCCATGCTAACATCGGTGCTGAGGGACAGCCTTGGGGGAAACTGCATGACCACCATGATCGCCACTATGGCAGTCGATAAACAGAACCTTGATGTGAGTAACTGCATCCCATCATAATTTTTGGACAAGTTAGTCTCTTAAACCCTAAGGGAAAAAAAAGGAACATGTAAGGTAAAAATGTAAAGAAAATGAAAATAATAATCTGTCTCTTGTTATTTTGAATCGTCTTATTTAGAAATATAAAAATACTTGTCCACCTGTATTTACACAAAGTCTTAGGTTCAACTGCTTTGAAAATGTTTGGTATGTGTATAAAAGTGTCCACAGAACATGGAGAGTACATTTTATTTTGATATAACACCTCATATTATCTAAGCTTTTAAAGAGCATTGCACAAGTAAGTTCACTGACTAGTTCAGATTATTCCGCATGGAAAGTTTTGGGAATGGAGTGATTATAATCAAATCATTACATGAGTGTATTTATTTTCTCTTTTGTTGTTTAACGCTGACTTTTTTTCCCCAGGAATCCATCTCTACATGCCGCTTTGCTCAGCGTGTGGCTCTCATCAAGAACGAAGCCGTTTTGAACGAAGAGCTGGATCCTAACCTGGTGAGACTGTCAAAAACTGTTTGCACTTACGTCATTACAAACTTAGCCAGCATACGCAGTCACACCACAGAATAATGATTAGTCTTTAATAAATACTATAACCCTGAGATCCACTCTGTTACCAAACCAAGACCTTTTTTTATTAGTTTCTAACCTCAGACACTCCCTGTTAGAAGCAGTTTTCATATTACATATTTACAGACACCAACATCCATCAATCTCATGCTGTTTAGACGACTAACACTTCCTGTTAGTATTTTCCTCTTGACCTTATTATCCCTGTTAAATTCGTAAGGAAGTTGTATTTAAATGTCAAATCATTCTGGCTTAAACATGGATATAAATGTACTCTTTATCAGACCATATTGTCCCAAAATTTTGAAAATATCTATTCTAAAAAAATCCTGTCCTAAAATCTGTGTTTTTTCCCCATTATCTTATGTGGGCCAGTAAGTTATACGTCAGCCTGAACACCTAAATTCGGCCAATCATATCAACGGTCACCTGTCAATCAAATTTTTTCGGCCATAGCATCTTGATTCATATGTCGCAGCTAATAGACGCAACGGTTGAAATTAGAATAATTTACTTTACCATTGAGTTCCATCCAAGTGTTCACGGGGATGGACGTCTGTGTCTTCAGCAGGCGTAGAGCTAAAAGAACTGGCAGCGTTGCGAGGCAAGGGCTCAAATATGTACAGCCTTCTACACCAAACCAAGCTTCTGTTTTCCTGGCGTCCTCTTCCACAACATCTTCGTCCCCGCTTTCCTCCTCTAAATAAAAAATATATGACGGAGGAGACTTATCGACGACCTCCGACACAAAACTCTCCTGCTCTTGCATGTTTCTGCTGTCCGTAGCATTCCTTGACAGTGTTGTTGCTAAGTGCTACTGGGTCCCAATGGAATTTCTCATTGGGAACCTACTAGCACTAAGTTGCTAACTGGTTAGCAAGATGCTTCCGACAAACCGGCCACAATCAAACTTGCTTGCAAACCTTCCGCCACAACAATCCCGCTCCCTTGATGAGCCACCAATAACATTCACTTTATTCACTCCTGTAAAGACGGGCGCCGCTCGGAGAATTCGGAAATGCAACGGTTGGAACAGCTGCTTCCCTACGAGTTTAAGCATATTCATACAAAAACCTAAGAAATATGGAAATAGAATTGAACATGCATATTTCTTGTTTTGGATTTACATTCTTAAAAACATCCCCTGGATTTTAGTGCCAACTTGTATTTGCCTATAATTGTAAGTTATCAATTACTGTACATTTATAGGCCTATGGATAGACAGGGGCGTGCACACATAGACACTAGGTGGTGCTAAAGCACTAGGAAGTTTGCCCTCTATCAAAGAAAATGCCCTTTTGAAACTCGTTTTTTTTTTTTTTTATTATTAATATTATTAAGATTTTACTGAGGTCGGTTTTGAAATGATCTTTTGAAAACCTGAGCCATTAAAAACGACTGAAACAATGCCCCGAAATGACCGACCTACTTGCGCACAAACGACCAGCCTCTCTCTCTTCCTTTGTCACGTGAACTCGCTCGGTCGCCCGCAGGGCATGCCAGATGCGCAGCATCATAGCAGTTTTCAGATAGCAGGAACGGTCGCTGACAGGCTGCTTCTCCCGTGCCCCATTAGCCAGGTAATATACAGATCAAGCAGAATCATTTTGTTGTGCATTAAAATGTCTCATTCAGCAGCACCAAACACGCATTTTGCCGACTGCTCACCTGATAAACTAGTTGTCTCCTTGTAAGATGCTATTTTACTTTTTATATTTTGTATCCATATTTTTTATCTTAAGTGTATACATTAGTCTATTTTATTGCATGACGTATACCCACAGTTTTTAGATATTTTTATAATTTTATTTACCTATTCCATATTATATGTTTCATGTTGCACGATTGTACCATAAAAAATTCCTAGTTTGTGAACTCCTTCACTAACAATGGCAATAAACCTGATTCTGATTCTGATAGTTTTAAACTGTAGCCCAAGTCAATGACAGATAACGTGAGGACGACCACATAGGCTACAAATAATTTTGGTAGAGTTTGCAATTGCAAATACGGAAGAGGATTAGGGCCACTGAAAAAAATAAATAAATTAACTGATTTTTAAATTTTATTTCAGTTTAGTATGGGAAAAAAGTCAGAATGCTGACTTTAATCTCATAATTCTAACTTTTTTCTCATAATTCTGACTTTTTGCTCAGTATTCTGACTTTAATCTCAGAATTCTGACAATAAAAAAGTCAGAATTCTGACTTTTTTCCCATGTTAAACTGAAATAAAATTTAAAAATCAGTTAACTTTTTTTTTTCAGTGGCCCTAATCCTCTTCTGTACAAATCTATGTGTTAAGACAAACGTTTTCTGTTGTATAGGTTTTGTTAGGCAACATAAATTAACACATTTTGGTCTCTTTATTGTCTTAATTGTATATTGATTTAGTAATTGCAGCACAATGCCAAGAAAGGAGGGTTAATCATATTGAAAAATCTTAAAAGCTGTTCACATTTTATTTTTAAGTGGTTTGTGCAGCAGGTATTAAAATAGCTATTATTTTGTAGGCTACCATAAGTCATATCCACGTGACAAGACTTCCAGTCATGTTGCCCTAATAGCCCATTATTTAAACTAATGTGGCATATTTGTTAAAGCTATTATTATTATTATTATTATTATTATTATCATTATCATTATTATCATTATTATTGTCATGATGGTTATTATTAATATATTGTAGCCAGTCACAGCAGGGAAGCTCTATACCATCAACATCTACCAGGACAAGAGATGAGGAAGAGTTCAGGGGAGACACAGAGACAGAAAAAGACCAGGATGAGGGAGAACAGATGGGTGAGGGAAAACGGGGAGATGAGCCAGATGAAAGAAGTATGATTTAGTCTGTTCTGTTGGTGATGTGACTTTTTTCCATTGAAAACTCACGTTTAGAGAATGTTACAAATAAAAGTCAAATTTCATTCAACATGCGTTTATGTTTTTTTATATAATTAAATTTTACACGTGCGCTAAAAAGTGCCCCCCCCCCCCCCCCCCCTCCTGAACACCTGCCCCCCAAAATGTCTGTGCACGCCTCTGTGGATAGATATGGATAAATAGCATTAAACTTTCCCTACTCCACTGTCTCCTCATATTTAACATCATCACAACATCTGAAAGCAATCCATCCATTTCTTGTTTTTCAAAGGCCCCATATATAAAGCCTAAGTACGCCTCAGGTTCCTACTGAGCTTTGTATTTGTATTGGAACAGTGGCTTATAATATAAATAAATATATATAGAAAATGCATTTATAAAGTGCAGTTTTTGTCATTCTGACTATAATTGACCTCCTTTATCCTGTGAGAAGTGAATTATAACCCCTGGTGTGGTGTAGCTGAAAGTTGACTCGCTGTTGCTAAACCCAGCTAAAGGGGATAGATTTTGGGTTTTCACAGCTATTTCCAAGTCAGCTGCTTCCACCCAGATCGGCCTCAGAACCAACTGCTACTGTATTACTGTTACCAAGATTTGGCTGTCCACTTGCAAACCCTTCAGAGGTATTTTTAAGAGAGTCTGCGGCTGCTGGCCCCAGTAATTGTGACAGCGCCTGGCTGCTCCCATCTAGGTCTGACTGAGTTACTTCAGGAAAGCTCAAACTCCTTCCTCTGTTTATGGATTTATCATTTCTTTTGCATTTTCTCCTCTGATGCTGCCTAACTGAGAGGAACAAAGCATTACCTGGGGTGGGAGTTTATAACTTATAATAATGTCATTTAGGTTCAGGATGACACTTGACCCTGCTGGACTGACAGCTCCTTTTTGGACTTACTCAAATGGTAGCTCATTTGAAAGCTGCAGTTTTCACATCACTATTACATTTGCCACATTAAGCGCCACTAAGTGGTGCAGTGCTGCAGCCAGAGGGATGCTTAATGGATTTCTGAACAGCAGGAAACTGGCCAGACCAGACAAAATATTTAACAAGTCTCTCAAGGAACTGGGAAAGAATGAGGTGTTGAAAGTGACCTGTGCTTATAATGAAGTCTGCCGCAGTGACCGGACCATATTAGGGTGTTATTTTCTCCCAGGTCAGCTATAGACCAGAATAATACTGGTTTGTGCTCCTCGGTGGAGATTTACTGTAAATATTGGAGCTTCTAAGATTCCTCTTCCTCAACTTACTGTTGCATTTATGTTGTGTACCTTAGTCAAAGAAGGCTCCATTTAGCAAATACCTGTGAGTTGAATTTTCACAAAGCAGGTAAAAATGTCTCTAGTACTCCTCATATATTTAAAGAAAGTTTGTTCAAGTGTTTCAACTGTTAAATCCATAGGGTAAAGCCTATGTGTTTATTATTTATTTGAGGATTAATATTTTCTTCATGTATATGTAGTAGTGGGAAACAGTGCCTCCTTTCTCCTCATAAAAAAGAGATTCCTGTTATAGCATCATGTTTAGGAGTGGGATGCTGTATACATGCACTTAAAGTAAAACCTGTGGTTAAACTGCAATGCTTACAGTTTACTGTGGATGGTTTTCATGTACTTTGGAGGAGGTATAATTTAAAGTAGGCACTATGTTAATGTTTCAACCTTAATTGGGTAACCTGGGGGTTAAAATTTAGATGACAGCAGTACTGTTCCCCAACCTGTAAATTTGAACTCACAAAAGTAATAATACCCCTCGTGCTTTTCCACATTTACTCATGCTACAATTAAAAAAAGAAAAAACTCAAAGTATTTAGTTTGGATTTTATGTCGCAGGTCAGGACAAGTTATTGCATGAATGCAAATAGTAGCGAAATTATTTATGCTTTTCAAACTTTACAAATTAAAAAAGTGTTGCAGACATTTTGTATTAGGTCCACTTGTGTTGCCTGTTAGCTTTGCACGTGCATGCTTCCTTTAATTTGTGAAACAGCAGTTTATGATCATTGAAGTTTGACTGGATGTAGGTCTGAATTTAACCCGGATGATTCTAATGCATGATAGTGATAAAACCATTCAGTTGTAGTTTAGACTGCACGTCCCCCTTGTGCAAAAAATTCACAGAAATACATGCATGTCAGGAGTTGCACATGCATCTAGATGGCTTGTGGGAAACAGAAAAACTATTTATTTTTATTCAATAGTTGCTTTCTTCTTTCCCCTTCTTAGTCAGGGTCTGATCTGTGTCCAGTCAACACATTCTCCCACCCAAGCTACATATTTTTGTGTAGGTCCTGCAGGGTTACCATGCATCTCTTTTTTTTTTTTTTTTTCCTATCAATTTGCATTGGTTCGAACGGGGGGCATGCCACACTTTAATGCTTCACCTCCCACATCAAAATCAAGACAATATATTATAACCACCTGATGAAATACTTGTAGTTTGGAAGTTTTAACATTAGAGCATTTAAAAATGTGCATTAAGAAAGCCAGTTTTTGCAAGACACTCAACATCTTTTGATCTCATTGTGCTGCTTCTTCAGTATCACGACATCCGCTTGTACCAAAAAGCACAAAAAAAAAAAAGAAAAAAGAAAAACTACCTCATCGGTTTGATTGTCTGGTCTGAGTCTTGTTTTTTTTTTGAACCCATAGAGTATGTAAGTCTGCCATGGTACTGTGGTGCCCCTGTGGGATTTTTTTGCTCTGAAATAGACTGCACCATCCCGCTGACCAACAGCTGGCGGTCAGATTTTTAAGAATGCAGCTGGAAGAATTAACATGAGAGCAGTGGTTCCAACAAAGAGGTAGGGAGAGGCTTTGGTAAAGGAACGGTCAAACATACGATACGGGATGGATTAGGGGGAAAATCTCCATTGAGCAAAGGGGAACCCACCCAAAAACCACACCATAGCTCTGTGTCTTTTCAGGGACATCTTAATTTTACATAATCTGAGCTGGTCACTGGTTTTGTATGTCAGTTAACTGCATTTAGTTTTCATTAGACCACTCAGTCTTTGACCTTATGTTAGCTTTCAGTGACCAATATCTTCCTAGCGTGAGGATCGCTGCTGAGTTTCTAGATTCTGTTAAAGAGGAGGATTTTCAAGACTTTGCAATTATACCAGTCAGCTTTACTATTGGATATTAGATATAGAAAAGGATACATTTTTTACAACCTAAGTGTTGTCAGTAGAGTGCATTTACTATATTTCATTGGAATTATATGTAAAAGATCAAAAACTAGCACATCTTGTATAAAATGATCTCAAAAGCTTTTAACATCTCACATAGCTATGTTTCATCAAATTTATAAAAACCTGAAGAGATTGGCGCAACAAATATATGAAAACATGGTTGTTAGTCCTAACTTAGAAGCTGGACATTACTTTAAGGAGTCAAAACAGCCACAGCTGAGGTGGGCTCTTATACTGTCTCTGTAATTATTGATGATGCACGCCACAAATCTGGCTTTTAGAAAAATAATATGTCTGTAATTTGCCCAATCAGAGGGATAGAAAACAGAAAAAAAAAAGCAGAAGCTGCTCTGATCATATGAGGGGAAAAAAAGGCCCCCTAATCATCCCTGGAACATGGTGATGGCAACATCATGCTAGGTTAGTCGATTCCTTCACCGGGGCGGGGACGGGTATGATAAGGTCGATACATTTACAATATCAAAGAGCTTATTGATGAAATTGATAAATGCTGCCATTTTATTTGAGGGAATATTTTAAAAACTCTGTTTCACATTTCAAAATAATATGCAAAATTTTCATGTTTGATCTCATACACTTTCGACATAGATTAAAATTTTTATCAGTCAAATGTAAAAACATTCCAGGCATGTTAATCCTTTGGTTTGGCACTCTATGAAGGAGCATAAAAATCTGGTTGTATTTTATGCTTTCGAGTTTGAAAGACAGATAAGCCACTTATGGAAGCACTTTTTCCTCTTTTATTTATTTTACCCCTACATACCCCTTGTATGACCTCATGCTGTGTCATTTTTTAGCTTATAGCGCGTTTAAAGCGAGAAATCCTGTGCCTGAAGGATGAGCTGGCGATGGTGACAGGAGATCAGCGAAATGAGCCGCTAACTGCAGATGAGATCCAAAGGTATGCCGCCTCTGATTGTTACTGTAGGTCTTCTTTTTTTCTTTCTTTTTACTTTTCTGGGAAATAAATGGTACATAAAGGGTTAAAGAAAACAATAAAACTAAAGAAACAAATTTGAGACTATTTCTCAAAGTTAAATCAGTATTAGAGTGTATAAAATGCTCATTTAAATCCAGGGAAGTTTGACCTACTGTAAAGGAAAAAAAGCAAATACAGATAAGATTTTGTCGGCAATGCAAAAAGATAAAATTACATCTGCTCTAACTTTCTTATCATAAAGGGTTAATCCAAACTAATCTCCAAACATAAACCTTGGATTTACAGTTTATGCTTTTATCTAAAAAAATTTGATTGAAAATTGACTGAACAATCATCAAAGGGTAGAATTTTGATTCGGAAATGTGTTGAAAACTTGAGCAATTTATCATTTCTAAAATGTTTTTGTTTCTTCTAAAGGGGCAATCTAGTTTTTCTGATATGTATTCGACAGCACTTAGTTTAGATCTCACCAATGTTCGAACAAGACAGATGAACAGAATAGAAGTTTCATTAAATACTGGGAAAATGTTCCCTCTAGAGGGGGGCCGTGTTTCCCGTTGACTCGACCCCCTAAGTTTACTTTTAATGGTTTCCTCCTTGCTGTGGTGACTCTGCCCTATTTCTACCCATTAGGGGTCCATCCTTGTCTGGAAACCTGCAATGATGACTGTTGAAGCCCTGTTTAGCAGCAGTGGTGAAATATTAGTTTCGGCTACTTGGTTACTTTTATGGCCTGTATTTTCCCATGAGCTAATCAGGAGCAAATTGTGCCTAAAGTGCCACATTGTTTGTATCAAACAAAATGAATACTTATTGAAATTGTTCTCTCATTGTTGATGTGCTAAACCTTCTATGACTGTTGTGGCATCAGCCATCCTTTATGGAACTGTCAGTTGGATATAGACTATCTGTAGCTGAGAGAAAGCAGCTGGATAAGCTGATCAGGAAGGCCAGCTCTGTGATTGGATGCCCTCTAGAATCAGTGCAGGAGGTGGGAAAGAAAAGGATCCTAACTAAATTAACGTCTCTGTTGGATAATGTTTCCCACCCCATGCATACAACTGTTGCAGAACTGGAGAGCTCCTTCAGTGACAGACTGCTGCACCCTAAATGCACCAGGAAGCGTCATCACAGATCCTTCTCTATAACCATCACTGTTCCCAACAACCTCAATAAGTTGTTACATTCATGCTGCTTTTGCACAGTTTCTATCTTGGTCAGTTAAATAACATGCTACTGTCATTTTTGCACATCTCTGATGTTAATTCTATTTTCAAATATCCATTACTATAAAAATGTCTATAGCTTTATATTAGGTATTTATTTTTCAGGTGCAAAGTTTGATATTGTTAAAACACAGTACTGTATTTCATTTGTTTACTTTTTTTTTTCTAAATCTTCACTATTATGTTATTCTTATACACTTTTCTAAGGTCCATATTTGTTCGACCATTTTTTCTATAATCTTTTTGCTGCTGTAACACCAGAGTTTCCCCATTGTGGGACAATGCAGGGATTTTCTATTCTATAATATTTTTGGTCAACCTCCTCTGTATAGTGAGATAAAATAGAGACCATTCTAACATTTCTGATAGATCAATATAAACTAGAACATAATTGTGTGAAAGAAATACAATATATGGTTTTTGAAAGTTCTACAAAGAATATATTTCCAAGTTATGTCTTGCATCTGTATTCCTCCTATCAATGTAAGTCTGTTCTCTTATATATTTATTAACTTATGTCCTTATTTAATCAACTTTTTTGTAATTGTTTCATCTGTTTATTTTGTCCAAAGTAGTGCGATGCTTTGTAAGAATTTGATGTCAGCTAAGCATTTTTTTTTGTTTGTTTTGTGCTTGATGGCACCAAAGAGCATTTTTCAAGATCATATTTTGTGTCACAAAACCAGAAAGTCTCAGAGGAACCTTAAACAATTTCAGTAGGTTTGTATTAGGTTGTCTGTCGTGTAAACCGCGGCTGTTTCTACAAGGACATGTAACAGATTATAGGGAACCGCACGTTGTCACACCTCTATTTGATCCATCTGGACGGCTGCCTTCCGGCCTTTTCCAGTGGCCGAGTCCACATGTCGGGACGCAGTGTTTGGACTATCGTTAAGCAATAGTTTATCAACAGACTGCTCCAGTGAAGCTGAAACTCACGTTGATATAAATAGTTTTCTTTGACCAGACCCACACTCGAAACTGCAGAGATGCATTAACCATTTGGGTGCCTGTTAAGGGAATGTGATGGTGTCATGGAAGTCTGTGTTTATTATCATGTCCTCACATTTTAGGTTGGATGAGTTACTCAAGGCCTTTCTAAATGACCCAGATCCAGATGTGATCCTGTCTCTGGGACCTGACATGAGAAAGATACAGCACTGTTTCTTTCTGCTTAAGGTAAAGTAGTCAGCACTACCTTTGCTTATAAAGCGACTTTAGAAATGTCTTCCTGTCTAACCTGTTATTTGAGTCTGATCTTGTTATCCATGCATCATTTCCTATGTTTTTGTTTTACTGTCTTGTCACAGTCACCCTTCGATGATTTACACGCTATGACTATAGGGTTCCACTGAAGGACACTTTCAGTTCTGGCTGTTTCATTCAACAAAAAAAAAAAAAAAAAAAAAAGTTATAGTGGTAATGTCCTACTCTTACTGCATGATAAAGCTGAAATTATTTATTCAACTTGTACATTAACTGAGAGGTGCAGATGCTCTGCAAATGCATAAATACAGACAGTACTGCAAACATAAAAATGAGCAAGGACAACCATTAGACAAACAAACAAAAACACATATAAGAAATCAATCCATCCATCCCCCTTCTTCCGCTTATCTGGGGTTGGGTCGCGGGGGAAGCCGCTTCAGTGGGGAGGCCCAGATGTCCCTCTGCCTAGCCACTTCGGCCAGCTCCTCCAGGGGAATCCCAAGGCGCTCCCAGGCCAGCCGAGAAACATAGTCCCTCCAGCGTGCCCGAGCCACCTCAAATGGCTCCTTTTGAGGGGCCGTTCTACTCCGAGTCCTCCCTGGATGATCCTACCTCTAAGGGAGAGCCCAGACACACTACGGAGAAAACTAATTTCAGCTGCTTTTATCTGGGATCTTGTTCTTTCAGTCATGACCCAAAGCGCATGACCATAGATGAGAGTAGGAACGTAGTATCTGTATAATCCATATAAGAAATGAAATAAGAAAAGGAAAAAAAATGCTGAAAGTAGCAAAAAACACAGCAAGTAAAGAAAACCTGCTCCTGAAAAAACAGAGTGCTCCAGACCACTAGAGGGAGATGATCCTATGCAGCCTTCGTCAACCATAACCTTCTCTATCTAAAAGGGATAATGTCTCCCTTTAAAAATTCTCTAAAAGAGAAAGTGCTTTTAAAATAGCTAAATGTTTAACCATAATATTATTTTAAACTTAAAATTCCACCATTTAAAAACCTCTGAAGGACTCACATTACATTGGACATAAGCATGTCCTTCATAGGTATAGTATAATTTCTCTATGAGCTGCAAAATATGAGGGGCCGTTTAGGACAGAAACTATTTTTCCTCTCACGTACACCAATAAAACCATGCACACACCTCAGTAGACACACACACACTCTAAAAAAAAACTATGTTTTCCTCTCAAACACACTACTATGACATGCACACATCACAGTAGAAACACTAAAATTGAATACATGTCTTATGTGTGTGTGTGCACTAATACTAGACTGTATGAGAGGGCATAAGTGTGTGTGTGTGCACTAATACTAGACTGTATGAGAGGGCATAAGTGTGTGTGTGTGCACTAATACTAGACTGTATGAGAGGGCATAAGTGTGTGTGTGTGCACTAATACTAGACTGTATGAGAGGGCATAAGTGTGTGTGTGTGCACTAATACTAGACTGTATGAGAGGGCATAAGTGTGTGTGTGAACTAATACTAGACTAAATGAGAGGATATACATATGTTTGTGTGTGTGCGCATATGTGTGTGTGTGTGTGTGTGGGTGTGTGTGTGTGTGTGTGTGTGGGTGTGAACTAATACTAGACTGAATGAGAGGCTATACATATGTGTGTGTGCGCGCGCGCGCGCGTGTGTGTATGTGACTGATATCGTAGCAGACTGAATGAGAGGCTTGTACTTGTGTGTGAGAGTTCAACCTGTCACGGAAGAGGCGGGGCAAATTGGCTAGCGCATGCGTGGAACCCAAACTGAGCAATATAATGTAAAACGGGGTGGGCAATAGGGGGCAGCACACAAGCCAGTTACCTGCTGAGCCAACAATAATGAGCTTCCGAGAAGAAGACGTAGCATGGCTGATACAAAACCTGAAAATTATAGACCAATTGCATTAACCTCAAATATTTGTAAAATAATGGAGAAAATGAATTTTGAAAGAATGATTTATTATATAGAATCTAATGGATATTTATCAAAATATCAAAGTGGTTTTAGGAGGGGTAGGAATACTATGGATGCAGTTTTGAGTTTGGAATTTGAAATCAGAAAAGCTCAAATTAGTAAAGAAAGTATTGTAGCAGTGTTTTTTGATATTGAAAAGGCAAATGATATGTTGTGGAAAGAAGGTTTATTAATAAAAATGTTAAAGATGGAAATTACTGGTAGGATGTATTGGTGGATCAAAGATTTTCAAACTGAAAGACAAATATAAGTTCAAATAGGTAAATATCATTCTGAGAAATATATTGCTGAAAATGGTACTCCACAGGGAAGTATAATAAGTCCTTTATTATTTTCGGTAATAATAGATGATGTATTTCAAAATATAGATAATGGAATGGGTTTTTCCCTTTTTACTGATGATGGAGCAATGTGGAAGAGAGGTAGGAATTTGGAATTTATTACTAAAAAGATGCAACAAGCAATTGTTAAAGTTGAAGAATGGTCATTAAAATGGGGATTTAAATTCTCAGTGGATAAGACTAAAACAATGTTCTTTTCAAGGAGGAAAATTAATGATCGTAAATTAAAATTATATAATCAAGAAATAGAAAGAGTGAAGCAATTAAAATTTTTAGGGGTTTGGTTTGACGAAAGAATAACATGGAATATACACATTCAAAAAATTTTAGACAAATGCAAGAAAGTAATAAATATTATGAGATGCTTAATTGGTAGGGAGTGGGGAGCAGATAGAGTAGCTCTAAAGAATATATATACAGGATTAATTCGATCGGTGATAGACTATAGTATTGTGTATAATTCAGCAGCAGAGACAAATCTTGAAAACTGGATCGGATTCAATATCAAGCATTGCGATTATGTACAGGAGCAATTAAAACTACTCCAACAGCAGCATTGTTAGTAGAAATGGGAGAAATGCCACTTGCATTTAGAAGAGAGCAATTAACATTAAACTATTGGGCTAATTTAAAAGGTCATAGAAATGATCACCCAACCCTGCAAGTAATAAAACCCTGTTGGGAAAAAGAAGTAAAAGATATTATAAGTTTTGGTCGGACTGTGCAAGAAAAAATAACAGAATTCAAAATAGATCAGATTAGTATAAGCCAAACAGTTCCATTATCAGTTATACAACCATGGATAATTACAGATGCTAGGGTAGATTTTACTTTGTTGGAAAGAAGAAAGGATAAGGAATTCATATTAAACTCATATATAGTACAGGATTATATTAATCATTATTATTAGTATGTAAATTTATACAGATGCCTCTAAAAATATAACAAATCAAATAGGAGTAGCCTTTATCGTACCAGAATTTAATGTTAAAATTAGGAAAAGGATAAGTGATGGACTTTCAGTTTATACGGGAGAAATGATTGCAATATTATTAGCTGTTCAATAGGTGGAAGAAGTTAAGCCATTAAGATCAGTCATATGTTCAGATTCTAGTTCATCTTTAATTAGTTTGCAGTATAGTCACTCAGAAAGCAGGCCAGATATAGAACAGAATAGAAATTCAACAGACACAATATAGAATAAATATGATGGGTTTAGTTATAAATTTTGTATGGAAGCTCATTATTGTTGGCTCAGCAGGTAACTGGCTTGTGTGCTGCCCCCTATTGCCCACCCCGTTTTACATTATATTGCTCAGTTTGGGTTCCACGCATGCGCTAGCCAATTTGCCCCGCCTCTTCCGTGACAGGTTGAACTCTCACACACAAGTACAAGCCTCTCATTCAGTCTGCTACGATATCAGTCACATACACACACGCGCGCGCGCGCGCGCACACACACATATGTATAGCCTCTCATTCAGTCTAGTATTAGTTCACACCCACACACACACACACACACACACACACACACACACATATGCGCGCACACACAAACATATGTATATCCTCTAATTTAGTCTAGTATTAGTTCACACACACACACTTATGCCCTCTCATACAGTCTAGTATTAGTTCACACACACACACTTATGCCCTCTCATACAGTCTAGTATTAGTGCACACACACACACACTTATGCCCTCTCATACAGTTTAGTATTAGTGCACACACACACACACACTTATGCCCTCTCATACAGTCTAGTATTAGTGCACACACACACACTTATGCCCTCTCATACAGTTTAGTATTAGTGCACACACACACACTTATGCCCTCTCATACAGTTTAGTATTAGTGCACACACACACACTTATGCCCTCTCATACAGTCTAGTATTAGTGCACACACACACATAAGACATGTATTCAATTTTAGTTTTGTGATTGTGTGTGAGTGTTTCTACTGTGATGTGTGCATGTCATAGTAGTGTGTTTGAGAGGAAAACATAGTTTTTTTTGAGAGTGTGTGAGTGTTTCTACTGTGATGTGTGCATGTCATAGTAGTGTGTTTGAGAGGAAAACATAGTTTTTTTTGAGAGTGTGTGTGTGTCTACTGAGGTGTGTGCATGGTTTTATTGGTGTACGTGAGAGGAAAAATAGTTTCTGTCCTAAACGGCCCCTCATAGCAAAACAGTATATACATCCTTAGATTTACACTATAATAGTTTATGTCATCAGCTAGTGTTATAGCAAAAAAGAGACATCATATGATTACTATCTATGAGGAAACTTTAGAGATGTAGTATCTGAGACCATTATGAGCTTTAGTTTTTAAGCTGAAGTCCGCTTGGATAATGACAAAAGGTCAATAATGATGAACTTTTATAGATCTGATGCTCATCATCTTAAGTGTTTCCTCCTCAAACTCCACCTTATTTTCTTAGCCCTGTGAAGTGGTCCATTGTCATAAACCATTCTGTCATTCTGCAACAAACTGAATGCTATACTGTATTCTTTGCATGACAATTATAAACATGTCACAACTGACTTTTAAGCTTCCACCACCAAAGGATGTGCTTATTTTCTTTTTTTGTTAACAAAATATGTCATCTGTTGTCATATTGACAGGTATGACAGA